ATATATACATATGTTTAGCATTTTTGCACAACTGGACATAACAAATGGCACACGATGATTCGTCAAATTTGACGTACTAAGCTGTTATACATGTTCACCTACAGGTGAATATAACAAAACAGAAATTTTCAAAATGGCGGCTACCAGTTTTGTGGAAGTTTACTTACAAAAATATAAGCGAAATTAGAATAAATTCAGTTTCAAAAAACACAAAATCCTGTGTAAAAATACTAAAACATGTATATATATATATATATATATATATATATATATATATATATATATATATATATATATATATATATATATATATATATATATATATATATATATATATATTAGAATCATTGTACTCGTCTGTATTTACCTCAACATGCTTTCAAACTTCCAACTATGTCGAAAACAGACTCCTGTACATCAAGTACTTAAAATAACAGCAACAAACCGTATTTATTCCTTGGAAAGCTGATTACACAGAAGGTCGCAAAACAGATGATTCACGAATCAGGCATATTTCTATCTGCCATTCACGGGTCACGGTTAAATCGAATCTTTCTTTCACTAGCCTGCTCTCAGACGTTGTTATTCTTACGCCAAGCGACGAATTATTACCGTCTGCTTACCCGAGCGCCAAACTGAATTCCGCTACGTCGACCAATCAGAATTTACCTTCCAAATTCTGAAAATGACGTCAGTTGATCTGGGGAGCGGAATAAATATAAATGTAGATTTTGAAAGCAGTCGTCGGTTGAATTTTGCTCAAAATTGCACATAAATTGAATTTAAAGATACTGATACTTGTCCAGGTAATAAAATGCACCATTAATGATCATATTTGGATATTAAAGATGTCCAGTTATATTTAAAACGCGGACAAGATTGGCATATCTAATATAACATGTACGAACCCAGACAGGCGAGACGAGATGTTTATCTTTAAGACAACAGAACTCGGAAGAGAGAAAATTTAATATAATACTGTGGCCAATAAACACAACACAAATCCGATAAAGTTGTAATAAAATTGCGCCGTGATGAATTTTCCAATTCGCCCAAACTTTGAAACGTTTGTACTCTAACTTGGCTATACTTTTCTACATGACAATATATGAGAGCTTAATCTTTTAGACGTTTTCGTCGAAGTCATGGCCAGGAAGTATCAAGAGCAACATTTGGACATATCCTGATATACTCGAGTTTCCCGATTGATTGTTTGTAATTGATATTGTTAACAAAAATTTAAAGTTCGCTTACTGCATTGAATGACTTTAGCACTTTATATACTAATTGTTTGCTGAACATGCGAGAAGATGATCACAATATTATTGTACGTAAACATCGTGAAGTTCAACGCTATGGTTTCCAAAATATATCCACACAAGTAAACAAATTTCAAGTTTCAACGCAAACAATATTATTCCAATGCATGTGCAAGGGCTTTCCCCAGTAGCTAATTTCTCAATAAGGCGGCTTCCAATTGGCTCTAACTCTTTTGAATATTGCCAGATGATTGGCTCCTAAAACAAAGGGAATTGAATATGGCGCTCGGGTAAGCAGACGGTACATACATGTAATACAACCAAGAGATGTGATTGCTGCAAACATTTTCTCACACCGGGCAATTCATTTAGTTCAACCATGACCGGCAGGTTGTTTAGTATCCGTAAGACCTTGACGTGTACATCTGAGAATGTGGTTTACCTCGCTCAGTGTGTGGCTTGTGGTTTGCAGGGGGTTGGCTCTACTATTAATTTTAAGCCTCGTTTGGCAAAGTACAAGTCACATATAAAGCATAACCGTAGAACATGTGGTGTAGTTAATCACTTCGTAGATGTGCACGGGAACGAGCATTTCAATTTGAAATTTATGTTAATTGATAACAACAACGAGGACTTAAGGAAGTGGGAAAACTTTTGGATAGGCACTTTGCTCACTAATCTGGGGGGTTTGAATACCAGCCATGATTATTCCCAACAATAGGTCTGTAGTCTTTGTTTATATTGCTTTAATTAGTTTAATCACTTATATTGTTGTATACAAGGAGAGTAATTTACTATATTCATTTACTTTTTGACGAAGGCGGTGGCATGCTGCCGAAAATTTAAACCTATATATATTTTTTTATTAAATAATTTCACTTGGAGTCGTGGCAGTGTTATAACCTGTTTGTATATTATCTATGATTTGTCTGCCGAGCAGAGTGTGTACACTTGTTGCATATATATATATATATATATATATATATATATATATATATATATATATATATATATATATATATATATATATATATATATATATATATATATTAGGCTTAAGATCTTGACGTTTGATCAGAAAAGTCGTTAGGCAATGTGACGTCATCGTTTGCCCATGAAAAGTGTTAAAAATTTCAAGAATGAATCAAGCTAAAGCCGCAAACACAACTATTGCGTATGCCTACGTATGAAAAACATCACTCAAGTACGCTTGCGGTAGGTTATAGGCATAGGTTGTAAACGTTTCAAGCACGGTCGCATATGGTGGCTTTCGCTGGCATATGGCGAGGCAGAAACTTTTTACGCTTAAAAATTTTGTGCCTATTCGGACGTAGGCTATGTTTATACGATTAGCATACTCTAGGAACACGCTGAATACGCTAGAGGTTTGCCAGACGTGCGGTACTCATACGCTGGCATTTCAAATGATTTTCGTGCGTATTAATTTTTTTTTTCTTTTTCATACGCTACTCATACGTTTCTCTCATACGTGCATGATAGTGTGAGAGCCTGAGAGGGCCTTAAGATAGTTTGGAAAACTTAATTCTTTCATGAATTTCTTTACAATTCAATGGCCAAAATTATATGAAATTCCGTTGCATATGCACTATAAATGTATCTGTGCAAGTGTGGGGCCAATTAAACCTTTCCCTTCTCCCTACAGATTTACAAAACCGAGTGGGAAATGTGTTGGCTAATTTGTTGGTTACCTATATGGTCATTGATGTTTGAAGGTAAAGAGAGTGTTAAAAGCAACCCAATTTTAGGAGAAAATTTATACTATTAATATAGTATACCAAGGCGTATATGCAGAGTATTCCACATGTTTTACTGAAATGTTTATCTCCCGTATAATTGCAGATTGTCAAAGTCTTTTTCTCAGGCATACGCAGTCTGGACAGTGTATTACAAAAGGACGTCTCGTAATTAATACACCAGATTTGGCGCTACCTTACTATGCTGTAATGAGTGATAACTGCTTGGGTGTTGAATCACAGTTCCGTTATCTCAATAACAGCGAGCTGCTACAAAATATCGAGACAGGAGGGACGTTTCGGCCTACCCACGAAAAAGTATACAGACGTCGTTTAACCTTGTTTTATGCTGTAGCAAACAAATCATTAAAATACCAAATCAGCCGTGTTAATCACTTAAAACAAACGGCAGCTGGAGGTTTATCTTTTCACAACGTGAACGCATGTGCTCAAAAATCAAAAACGTTTCCTTATATGGGCAAGAGTTCATGTTGTAACAACGCTGAACAAAAATTTACTTTTGGTAAATGCAGTATTTATTATACATTTCTTGAGCAGACACATTTCTTCACGGAAACATCTTGAGAAACGTGGAGTGAGCATCACGAAATGATGTGTTATTATGATTTTTCATTATTACAGTAAAAACTCGCATACGAGAAGCACTATTTTTATGACAAGCTTAGTTGGTTTTTAACTATAGTGCATATTTCTAGTCAAAAATAAGTGTTCCTGGTTTAGTGTTTAAAGGGAAATATGTTGCAATAAAAATTACGCTGTTTTCATTTCTTTGGGAGATTCAGTATATGTAAAACTTTACTACTGATTTCCTTATATATAAAATTAATATACATGTGCAGAAAGTTACTAAGATTAGAATGAATGAAGTTAATTTGGAGAATACCCAACAACAAATCTTAAATAAAGTGAATAGTCTCAACATTGTTTCAAATTTAATTTTAGTTAACATTTGCCTTCAAAATATTTCTTTTCGTCATTATTAGTGAGTTGTTGATGGGTTGGCACTAATAATTGATATTTAAAATTGTCCGATTTTGATACAGTAATCCTCGTTCTGTGCTAAACAACCGATCGTGATTTAATTAGCAATCAATTTCGATCTCATCATTGCTTTGTCAAACAACTTTAAATTAAAAAGCTCGATAAAAGTTGATTATATCTTGAATACGAATTGAGCGTCTTGGTAGTAACCGACCGGAATAAATACGAGAAGGATATATACAAGGGGCACAGGAACATCTTCGCCTACTGGTCGGTGACGCCTGCGGCTTTCCCAGTGCCCCACCACCCTCACATGGTATGGTTGGTCCCGGCTATGGTCCAATGTCAGGTCAGATTCATGGAGTAGAGGGAAACCCAGGCATGATTTCAATCACAACTTAATGTGATCAGTCTCTGACGCAGCTCCAGTTCAAGTAGATGTAGAATTAGAACTTGGCGAAGGAGTGTGTGAGATTTAATTTTCCGCAGCTGGAGTGTCCGACAATGACTACGTATTCTGGATACTAAGGGTATCGTATAGATTTCAGGTCCCTGCAACGTCCGACACAACTTATACACGCGTCTTAACATTATCTGTTGTAGATTTCCAGAATTACCACGTCCGACTGTGTGTTGATAATTTTCTGATCATTTCCATGTGCGAAGTTGTCTTCAGATGTGTGCAGGTCAATGACCAAGGCGAACTTGTCCTTGAAGAAGTACCTGTGTGTCATATATTGTTCGGCCATGACCAAGGCGAACTTGTCCTTGAAGAAGTACCTGTGTGTCATATATTGTTCGGCCATATGCTGCCCTTGCATGGCAGACGGAAAGCCAAGCAATAAAGCCAACGTTTGGGGAGACCCTCTGAAAAGGCCGAGTTTGGGACACCATCAATGGTGATTTTGATTTTGTTTATATGGTGGTTTCTGTACATACAAATACCTGTATAAGAGCAGAATAATAAGATTTTATATTGTATTAAGAAGAATGAAACTCGCTTGGCCGCCATAGATGAACTTTGAAGTAGCTCATGACTGCTGCTATCAAAAGTCATATGTGGTTTCAACCACAATAGGTATTTTTACTGGAGTTTAGGATTCTAGAAAAGGGAGACTACAACTTTCATTGGTAAACAGAAGAGATGGGTATCTCTATTCACACATCGTACACCCATCCCCCCAACCACCTAATTTCTGTCCAGATTCCAGCTTTCACAACGGCAATCCTTCAACACTTTTTGGGGGATCCCTGTCTTGCCCCCTCCACCCCCTTTGCTACCCCACTGGATTTGGACCACAGCCTGGACCATCAACGGGTCACCAAATTGTACGATACTGACCAGGGGGTTCACGGACACAGATTTTGTTGGTTTTCTCCCAGCTCCACTACTAGGTCTGACAATGATTTCTGACCTGGAACAACGACGAGCATTGAGAAGGGTTCTTCTAATTGAGGATGCCCCTGACATCAGGTACCTTACCATCCATCCCACTAAAAGCCCCCTGCGTATCAGGAACTGTCACATTCACCATTTTGACTGGTTTTCTCTCAGCTCCGCAATTTTGACCCGAACTGCACCATGGCTGGGACCATCGACGGATCACCAAATTGTTTCATATCCACAGGATGCTACGGGTACCGTGTCACTCACCTTTTTTTTTGCTTTTGCTCCGCTCCACTACTCTGAACTGTCACTACACAAGGTATCATACACCCCTGAGGGTTTTGGAACACTGTCACTCCCCACTATTTGTTGCCTTTCCCTCTTTATGACTCTGACCTGTCACTGAACCATAGCCAGGACCATGGCCGGCTATCTAAAGGTACCTTACCCCGTTGTGTAGCATATGTGATGGAAGGGGGAGGAAATTTCTGGGAAAGCCGCAGGTGTCACAGAAGCGTAGGCGAAGGTCTTCCCATAATCGCCTCACATATTCTATTAATATACTACCAAAACGTTTCCAAAATCACCACTTTATTGCTAGACGAAGTCGACAAACAGTAGCGGAGATTTTGGGTTGTTATAGTACTGAGTTAAATATTTTTACACCTTTTATTCTCTGTTAGAAATTGAAGACGATCGATTATGTATGGCCATTTTGTCGTTATTTCCTGGTTATAAGTATTATACTAGCCTTTCTCACGATGATTAATATCCGCCATTTTTGGGTCGCATCTAATTCTCGTTAACCAATGTAGACAATTAAATGAATTGGGAAAATACACTTTTATAATAAAAAAAAACTTGCATGTATGAACATTGTAAATATATACCGGCACTGTATTGACGCACATAATTCCACTAAGCTAGACATACTGAGCTGCTCTCCAAAGTACTAACTTTAATAGCATCATTTGCATTTGATAATATGGTTAGTTTTGTTTACTTTTATTATTAATATCTTTATTTTTTGAAGTAAACATGCATGGGTTTTTGTTTGGTGGCCCAACCGTGGACATACAAAAAATGGGCGACCCATCGAAACTGCCCAAAGATTTTCCATGGCCCACCCCAAATCACTCCAGCCCACCCTAGCAGTTACCTTATGACCGGTCCCTTATATGGAAACTGTGATGCAGCGGGATTATCCGACCTTCTGCCCCTTTGTCCTCCTATTGCCAAGGATCTGTGTTACGGACAAATAAAACAAAATAATTAAAAACAAACTACGCGGTATTACTATAATGATCAACACATCAAATTTGATGATTCAGTGAGTGCAGTGGTTTTCAAAAGTATTCATAGGAATTCCTGAAAAAATACACTGCATATTTACTAATATTTAGGCCCCGTTTACACTATAGCGGATTACATTTCATACCGGATTAATTTTTACTCCGAAGTGAAAAAACAAGGGTGTTTTTAATACACTATGCCGCTTCGGTCTGTTGCCAGCTCATGTCTTTCACTGTCGCCATGGAAACAAGTAGCCAATATACCAAAATTTATCAAAAACAAGAACTAACACCCGTTTTCTTTGTAAAGTAGAACTTTGTTTAAAAAGCTTGACCACCAGACGTTGCTTCGTTTCGCTCTAATCCAAAATTGACCAGTATTTCTTTAACTTTTGCTCTTTCGAAAGCGAAAAGTCAATGTTATTATCGTTTTCTTTATTTGTATTCGGCAGAAATAGTAAATGGTTGTAAGGCGAAACAAACAACAGCTATAAAGTATTGTAAAACCGAGCAAATAAAGGCGACAATGTTAAAACATACATGCCAAAACCGATTTTGTACCGAAGCGTACCGGATTAGCCTGTTTACACTGCTCCGGCCGGCACATACCGGATTACTTTTCATATCACCTCCAAAGCGGAGTGATTTTTACGCCGCGTCGCGTACCGGATTACTGTGGCGTAGTGTAAACCGCAGCCGAATCCGGTATGAAAATCGCTCCGCTCCGATGCAATCCGGTATAGTGTAAACGGGGCCTTAGTAACCACTATACAGCATACACAATTGTTCTCCTACAGTCTCGCCTACAAGACTACAACAATGTTTAGAACTTTTCAGCTTTCAGACAGCATATAAAATGTTTACAATCCTGATTTATACAACATTATATTTATTTTTTGGTAAGCAATCTCATCACGAACGATTGCTTGAGCCACATGACTAACATTCGTTGTTTTGAAATATAAACATTGTCAATTTCATGCTTTAAATATAAATTTCACTTTGGAATTTGGATTTACACGACACGTGCAGAAACCTTTGCAATAAAGTACTCACTTTCTTTAAACTCAATAACAGTGTTATTTCCTTCTTTGAACCAATTCCAGTCTTGAAAATACGGATACCTTCCAGTTTTTTCAAATATGCATCGAAATTATAAAGAAAGGCATATATAATTGTAGTTTCTTGAGAAACATGCCTTGGAGCTGGTTCTTTTCCCGCCGATTGCCAATTCTCGGCGCACTAGCTAGTGAAGCTTGTGCTAAAATGATCTGTTGGAATTGAACATGTTTGAAGGGATTTCTTTTTAGAAAAATTTTCAATGTACTCCTCTTTAAAGTGACTCTCACAAATATGTATGTTGTATGTTATTGATGAAGCTGATCTGGGCTTACAGATAGAATTAACTGACCTCCGCCAGCTGATTAAGCGGTTTATTTTATATAATGACGCGTATTAATTATATATACAACGGACTAACCACGCTTCAGCTTTCTGTGCTTGGAGAAGCAAGACTTCCCTTGGGGAAGCGAGACTTCTTAACTCCTGGCAGATTAGTAGTAATTGTGATATTTTGCACAAACAAACAAAAAACAACAAGGCATCCTAGCTACTTCATCAACTCTACTTTATAGGATCAGTGACAGCCTACAACACCAAAGTGGAAGATGTTGGTTGTTCTCTTATACAACGTATGGTGGTCACTAGAGCTGATTATGGAGATTTTAATAAGACTGGCATGTTGGATGTCAATACAAACACTGACATTTACTGCAGCGTACTAACCAATTGTCAACTCAAATCACTTTGTGATGGAAGTAGATCGTGTGGACCTACCATTGA